GTGTCCAGCATCGTTTCTTAAATTGTTTTCAAGAGAGCATTTTCAGCTGAAAGCAGCCATCCGGAGAAAAAGCTCAGCACCCAGCGTCTTTACTTCCGAGCTCTCTGAGCTTTTTTGTGCGGCCGTTCGAGCGCTCAAGATGAAATTATTATTATTATTTTTTATTTAAGATTTATTTTTGGGCTTTTTGTGCCTTTAATGAGAGATAGGACAGCGGATTCGGAGTTGGAAATCAGGGAATGACGGGAAAGAAGCCACAGTGGGATTTGAACCTGGGCCGCCTGCTTTGAGGACCAAAGCCTCCATACATAGGGCGCGCACACTTTCCACTGCGCCACCAGCTGCCCAAGATTAAAATCTTTTAACTGCTGAGAAAGGCGCTGTTGACGTCACCGACGCTCTTTTCCAAATGTTTGACTTCCTGTATCTCAAATATAAAACATCCAGTAAAAGTAATGGAGCCGTGTCTGTCAGTGCTTTTCTGTGACTTCTGCAGCCAGCCTCAAGTGGACACTCGATGAACTGTAGGGATTTACACTTCTGCATAGGCTTCATTTCTCAACACTGGAGTTTGTCACTTTGAATTAACTGGCCAAAAGTGACTTACGATCAATGGAAAGGGCTACTTCAAACCTTTTCATTAAATAAGAAATTTGATTAAATATTTGTCCTTTGTTATCCTATTTGTTATTCTATGTCTCACTTCTCACTGCGCATAATATTTGTCCAACATAAATGCATTTGACAAACATTACATTGTTATTTAGCTGTTTCATTGTAAAGAGCAACCCACTAACAATAAATACTTAAATAAAATAAAAACCATAAACATCCATGAGGAAGTTAATGAAACTCATTCCATATCATAGGTTGGTGCTGACAGGAAGTCCTTGAGGTAGATGAATGCATAATGTTTTCATTATGTTGGTGCATGTCACACAGCTGTTTTGAATTCATCTAAGTGCATGTAAACAACAGACAGTATTAGATCATATGCTTGGATAGGATGTGGTCTCTACATGCAACTGCTGAATGAGGACATGTACCTTAACGCTGTAAGGAAAAACACTGTCAGTGGAAACACAAAGACACCAGACTTTGCTAACTCAGACTGGAATGGCCAAATATTAGGGACAGATAAATTCAAAGAAGCATTTTCTTTTTAAAAAACAAAGGACTTTTAACGTGGCCTACATTGGAAGGATTTGCTTCAAGGTCATTAGAAGAACTATATATTCCTGCACACCATTTCTCTTTCAGTATACTTAACAGCAACTAACTGTAACTTCGTCCAAAAACCATGACCATGATCTTAATCTGCATTTAACCTTTAACATACTTTATTATCCTTGTGCACAAAATGTAGAAAAGAAAATATAGGAAGTGAACATCAAAATATAAATCTTGATGGTGATCTGGAGTTTATTAAAAACTCCTATATGCACCAGATGGGCGTAAACATCGTGGTCATATTTGTGATCATGGTGGGAAGCTCAAAAGCGCATATTTAGTTGTCCAAACCATATAAACATTAAAAATCGGACAAATGGTTATCATTCAACCACTTCTCGATTCATAGTCAAGTTAAATCAATCAATCTTTATTTGTTTGGTGTCAGTTCTTAACAAATGTTATCTCAAGACTCTATAAAAGAGCAGGTAAAAGACCTTACTCTTTGTTATGAGACACTGGATTTGGACATCAGGCAGTGTTTCAAGGTAAAGAACAACATGCTACTCAAGAGTTAACAGTAGCATTAAATCACTTCCTTGCTAGCCTTAATGTGTGATGGTGTTGTATTATGATAGGAAGGCATACATGTCTAGTACGTGGCAATGTTAACAAGCTAAGGGTAATGTTATAGGGCTTTCACAGATGCAGAAAACTCCGGAAGAACTCCTGATATTTCCAGGAGGAGCTGTATGTGTGAATGCTAACAGACACATTTTTCGCTCAGACTTCACCCAGAGTTTCTCCTGCCAGCCTCCTAGTATTTTTTCCGCAGCAAGTCCAAATGAGCTGATGTGAGAACGCAGCAGGATATTCTCAGGAGATTTCACCTCAAGCCAATAGGAGGGGAGGAGTGAAGTTTATATTCTGTGACTGGAGTCAGTGCATTGACTGCCTACAACTGCTACGATCTCCGTGCATGTAATTAAACAGCTGCATTATGTTGTCTGTTTGTCAGTATGTTGTTATCCGCTCTTTTGTTGACGTTGGACTCTGTTGTTCTGTACGCTACATCCGCATCTTACCTCAGGAGATCCCCCCCCCCCCCCCCCCCTCCTGTCTGACAGGGATAGTCTCATATGTGAACAGCCAGGTCAGGAGACTCTCCAGAGCAGACCTCAGTGCATATGTGAAAACGTCTCCAGAAAGGAATTAGTTAAACACCATGTTAGCTAAAAGTGACTTAGCTGTTGGTAGCTTATATGTTGTAAAATGTGTTGCAGTACTTTGGCATAAAGCCCAATCTCTCTCTACAGTTAGAGGCTTCATCACTGTGTGTCATGTATGCATGAATGCAGCGAGCTATCGGGAGAGGTACACGATCAAAAGCAGAGTTAACTCATTAGCATGTAAGAGTCCTCAATGTGTCTTCTTCTTTTTCTAACTTGGTGGATCTGCTTTGTTCTTTGGAGGAGACTCTTCCTGGAAAATCGAAGCGGTGATTAAACCGTGCGTGTGATCAAATAGCATCTTCCTGCAGTCTATACCATCCCATACAGAGAAATGTCTACTTTTAGTGCAGGCATTTCACACACACACACACACACATAGACGCACTGACACTGATGATGGTTGAATGGGATCTTTCATGTGTGTTGCAGCATTTGCACTTAAAATGAACCTTTATTCTCTTCCAACTCCCCCCTCCATCTCTTCAAATTGAAAACCATCAAATGTAAAATGTCACACTTCTGGGCATCCGGAGCTGGAAGATTGTGTCCCACTCAAAGCTGGTGATTTCCTGAGTATTTATCTGCTTGATTCGTGACAGAAAAATCTCTTTTTGAGGCTCCAACCATCACACTTTTTTTTTCCCTGCTCGGCACCAAATTTCTTCTGAGAGTGTGCAGAGGAGGCAGAAATCTTTTGAATCACAACATTATTTCATACAGTAAGCAATGCCTGCAGTCGATTGGAATTCACTCTTTATATATGAATATAAAGAGCGATCACTTTGCCATATGTTTGAGGGATTCCTTGGCTTCGTTGAATTCTGGATCCTCAACGGTTTCGGCCTATTTGAGCTTTTATGGTCATTTTGTAGAGGGAGGGGATGCTCCGTTTTTACAGCTGTTTTTCATCTTATTGATTCCGATCAAAATAAGTGGATCATATTATCCCTCGAGGTTTAAATTGGATGAAGATATGATGACAAAGGTGAATAATATCCACTTCAATCTTCCTTTGATCTGTCCATACAGTTATTGATTTTTTTTTTTTTTAGGTGCCATTGAATGTGTTGAATGATGCACAGCAGCCTTTGCAACTGCAGACAAAAATCAATATCATATACAGTCACAGTGCTGTCATCAAAAAGAGTGAACTGTATTGCTTTGTCAGTGTAATTTAAAAAAATAATAATGGTCTTACTGTCCATAAAATGGTGTGCCTGGATTGAGTCTGTCTTACTGTTGGAAAAGCATCAAGATTATGGCTGAAAATACATTTTAATAAGTAATTTGTCTTTTTATTTTTAACTATTGTGTCCACTAATTTACACCTATGCAAAGGTGCTGCAACAATTTATCCAACTATCAGTTATTTTGTTTATAGATTAGCTTCTTGAAGGCATTTTTTCCAGTAAAACCACCAAACATTTGCTGGTTGTTGCTGAACATTTACTGGTTACCTGCTGTGTTTTGTTTTTCCCATTGTTAATGGAACATCTTTGTGTTTTTGGCCTGTTGGTAAATACAAATCAAAAATATGAAAGCACATTTTGAGGGATACCATTTTTGTAATTTAAAGCATTCTGGTAGGTGGTGCCGGTAGTCCAGTGGTTAGTGCGTGCTCCCCATGTACGGAGGCCGTAGTCCTCTTGGTGGATCCAATCTGTGACTCCTTTCCCACATGTCATTCCCCACCCTCTCTCTCTCTCCCCTGTTTCTGACTCTATTCACTCCCCTATCTCAAAATGATTATTTATGATTGACCCATAAACTACTTGAGTAATTATTTCTACAATTCTACAATTCACTTATTCAATTATTTGAGCACTTTTTAAATTGTGTGTCAGAATCTATAGGGATTTAAATGATTAGTTGATCAATCAGTTGGAGAAATTATTTTTCATATAGCTAAAGGTTGAACCAATATACTAAGACTGAGAGTATTTGATGCTTTTCATTATGTGATTTTTAGTTTATTTAAAACAAGCTAATAGGATAAAATCCCTCAGGTTGTAGTCGCTCCAGTTGAACTTGATAGATGGAAATAATGCAAATAGCTTTTGGGGCTATAAATAAACTATTTACTGCAATGACATTGGAGAAAAGCACAAAATCCTCATTTGTTTGAGAAGCTCTAATAAAAAAATATTCATAATTGTTGTCAACAACCTGTCTGTTGACTAATTGGTTAATTGACCTACTTTCCTGCCTCTGAATCTTATCAAAAATGTAGACTGATATTGCTGTTTTAGCTTTATTTAAAAAAAAAGAGCATATTTTGCTTACTTAGCTTACATTTACACATCGTTCGTTGATAATATTTGTCAGCTTTCAACTCCCCAGTCACATTACCTCATCAGTAACGTGTCATTTACCTCACACAAGGTGGACTGATCTCACCTTTGCACAGAGGGGAGGAGGCAGGAGGAGGAGGGGATGGGGCATGAGCACACTGGTAATGAAGTCAATAAATAAGCTCAGCAGAGGAAAGGAAAGGGGGGATGAAGACATGTGTCTGTGTGTACAGTGTGTGCTTTACAGTGGTACTCCTGTAGAGAGCGGTAGATAGTTTTAATAAGTGCTCACACAGTCTGACTGTACTGTACATAAAGCGGAGGGAGGGAGGAGCGAGCGTGTAGTATTTCTTTTTCGGTTCTTTCCCTCCTGTCGCTGCAGCCCGTCCAAACGCTCCTGTAGGCTAAAGGAAAGGCAGCAAGGAAAAAAGAAGAAGGGGACGCAAACTATTATTCCCACGTTTGAGCTTTGCAAGAAGGAGGACGAGGAGCTGCGAGAGAAGGCAGAGGAGGAGGGAGATAATTTTGACAGTGCGAGGCGGAGCAGCGTTAGCGGAGGAGCCCGGCTCGGAGTGAGTGTGAGAGGGGGGGGAACGTGGAACCACTCAGCGCCGCTTCACTCGTGCAGAAACCCGGAGGAGCCCCGCTGACTTTCTCCCGCTTCATTACCGCCCTCATAACCAAAAAACCCGGGGCTGGTTGTCCACGCTGCGTGGGGGGGTGAACCGCCGGTAAGTGTCGTTATCTCTGAGGCTCCGCCGTGCAGTAGTGTGGCGGTGCTAGCTTGAGTAGCCCGGGCATTGCTGCTGCTGCTGGTGCTGCTGCTCGTTTGACAGATCAGCCAAGATACACACCGTGTCCTGGTGCTGCATTCAGGCTCTTAACCTCGTTTATCTGCAGCCATTACTCCACTATTGTTGACGTTTTCCCTCTGCTGAGAGGTCGCTGTCAGTGTAACATTACCGGATATTACTGCATAACGGTAATGCTGCCCCTTTTTTTTTTTGCTCTCTTGCACTGTGTTGTGCCTGAACTATCATGTGCTGCTTACACACACACACACACACACACACACACACACACATACTCACACACACACTCACACAGGCCTGAACTTGGATTTATGCCTGCCTGCTGCTGCACTCACGCATTCACACACACACACTCAGAAAAAGGTAATCGATAAGGATCTTAAGCTATAACTCAGCCGTAATACTCCTCCTATAGGCAGTGTTTCAACTCGGTTACTTGACCGCAATTTGCTGTCCTATAGTGTGTTTTCAATGCATACTGACCCCCTCATTTTCATTGGATTAGCATTATAATAGTACTATTGCAGTACAGGAAGGGGAAACCCACCTCCAGTCAAGCTTGCATGTGCTCATTTTTCTCTGCCATGGGGAAATTGGGTCATTAACATTCACACAATCCATGCATCTCTGTGGTAATGTAACTGTGCAGCTTAGCCCTTGTGATGTGCACAGATTGGCATTTAGAGTTAATGAGTCTATTTTTGCTTCCTGTTAATTATCACTGTGTCATGCAGCCCATGATGACACTGTCTGATCTTGCTTGCGTTCGTGTTGATCAGAATTTGCCGGGGTTTCCAGAACAGACTGTCCTAGTGAGGAGGCTTAATGTGCATTGCATCAAAACAGTGAGTGTCGGTGGGGGTTTAAATTACCACATACGCTGGGACTTGTTGTATAGGGAAAAGAAAAGGTTTATTTTGGAGGAACATCACCAAAAAGTAGAGGGCAACTCAGTGAAAATGTTTGCAGTTCTTGCTGGATGACAACACTGAAAGAACTTACTTTACAAATGGCATAACATTAATGCATTGTTGACAATAAGAGACTGATTGATATATCAACTGGGCAGTATTATCTAGCAGATATGGGTGAGGGGTCTGCAACCAGTATGTTTGTATTGTAGGTTTGTTTTAAACACATGCTACAGAACATACAATGCAGAAAGCAATGCTCGGAGTGATTTCAATCAGTGGTTTATCAACTTGTGGGTCGAGACCCAAAGGTGGGCCACTCATTCATATTCAGAAGAAGTGTGACTGGGGGGAAGAAATGGTGTTAAAAAAAAGTCTGTGAAGCACATAAACATGTTTTGTTCTGTTGCTTCGTCACAAGTTTTTAAAAAATAAAATAAATCTGATTGGTTGAGAAATAAACAGACATTTGGGTGGAGGTAAGAGTTGGTGGTGGTGGGTCCTGAGGATATTCAGATGAGAACCTCTGATTTAGATGATTTCATGACATTGTTTTTCCCAGCACACAGAGACAGCATGGACTCCGAGCACTGTCTTCAGCACATGCACAACTGAGACTGTCTGCTCTGATAATCAACTATGAGTTAAATACTCTTTAAGCATCCTGCTGGCTCCCTTTGCATTCTCATTTTGCTGCTTAAAATTGGTAACATATCTATGTAGAAAATGTCATTGCTGCCTGGAAATGACATTTTTCAGCATCCATATTTGGCAATCAGGCAATTTTCCCGCTCTAAAATTAGTGTCGGTATCAGTTGCTAGAATCCCACATCTGTTCCCGCTCTTGTAATAATAGAACTTAAAAATGCTTAAAGTTGCCAAGACAAACTTCCCTTGTCAATCCCAGTGCATGTACAGGCTGCTGACAGGCTCTTTTGACACATCATTCACTCAGACCTTGTGAAAATCCTCGACGAACATAATCTCGGTGCATGATTGACCACCACAACATGAACATAATGGTGACAGTGAGTGCGTGTGCAGCTGTTTGTGTGCGAGGGTCTTCATCCCCCACATTACAGCGCTGTAGTAATTAAATCACTCAAAATGTAACCGCCCTTTTTTTGTTGTTGCTCATCGCCCTTCTCCAGCATCTTGAGTCGCGTTCATTCTCACAGCAGCCTCGCGCTGCAGCTGATAGAAAGTGACAGTCTGAGAGCTGGATGCTTTTCGCAGTTGAATCCATCAAGCTGGCAAACAGAAACGTTCCCTCTGGCACGCCGAGGCTTACTTAAAAAAAAAAAAAAAAGGCAGAGTGTATGGATTTTCCATCGACAGCGTTGCAGATTCAAAGCATCTGGACTTGTTGACGTCTGAATGTCTTTGCAAACTTCCCAGAGGTTGCAGTCTTAATTTAAAGAAAGAAGACAGAACAGGAAGTCATGTGTGCACTTTTAGTAACCATGCATCCTTCATATGCATTTTAATTAACCATTAAGGGTTAATAATGTTGCTATAATGTAAATATATGTAAAGCTAAACCCCCTGTAGAGTTTTTTGGATTTGCACAAAAACAGGCTTAAATATAGGACTAATTTATGTCGGATCAGCTGGTCGGGCCCCAGATGCCCACCGTTCATTAATCATTAACCACGCGTTTAAATTGCAGTGTTCTCTCCCCGGGTTGATTATTAGCCACGGACAAATCCGCCATTCACGTATTAACGTTTTCTCCAGGGATAAGAGAAGAGTAGGCTGTGAAGAGGGGAAAAGATGGAGTTAAAAAAGTATCAAGTTTGGAAGTAATTAAATAAACCTATAGGAAAAACTTTATAGTGGATGTTTGTTCATGCATACACTTGACTTTTTCCCTTCACTTGAAATGGTTTTCCCATGCATAAGAGCAGAAACTGTGGAAGCAGCGGCTACGCTCCTATGTGATGTAACGGTGTCGTGTATGTGAGAGAACACAGGCGATGTATGGGTGTAGCCTGATGTGACCTGGTCTATATAGTCTCGTCTTCTCTCCTCGCCTCTCTTACTCCCCGTCCCTTTTTCCCTCTCCTCTCCTCTCCTGTCTTCTCTTCTTCTCCTTCCTCTGCAACCTTTTTCTCCTCTTTCCTTTCCTCACATTTTCTCCCCTCTCCCCTCTCCGTTTCTCTGCTCCTCTTTTTCCCTTCTCCTCCCCTCCCATTCTCTCGTCTTCCTCTCGGCTGGGGCTCCTTTAGGGGGCCAGAGGTGACCTTCTCCGGTCTCTCCCAGCAGCGAGCACCCCAGTGGGCCTCTCTTTTTGTGACCCTGTTTTCTGCCCGTCTTTCTTCCCAGCCTCCTCCCCCCCTTCTCGATTCCCTCCCCTATTTCTCCTACGATCCCTTTTTATTCCCGATGGTGGGGCAGCAGCGCTTAATGCCTGGAAACATGCAGCGATCACTTATATAACCTCGGCTGTGCAGCTGATGTCCTGGGTCTGTATCTGCTGTAAAATGATGTCAGAGCTGTCTAGAGAGGCAGAGGGGCCTGCTGGGTAGGCCAATATGTCAGGAGCTCTCCCTGAGCGGAGCGCAGTGAGAGAGGTGATCCTAGGATTTGCCTCCCATTTCCTCCTTCTTTTTTTTTGAACAGAAAGAGGTGGAGACACCAGCTGGTTAAAATGTTTGAAACATGTTCCCAGAATGCATCTCAGTGCGAAAAAATGTCCTTGTGTCTGTATGGCTGTAATAACTCTGTGGGAGGAGCTACATCGTTTGCATGAATGTCGAGCTAAATACCTCAAGACATTTCCCCCTGATTTACATTTTTCCTGCATCGCTCGGGTCAGAGAGGTGACACATTTGCAGCTGATTAGCAGAGGTTAGCATCACACATATTTCCTCCATAAATACACAATAAACTAGAAAAAAGAAAGACATGCCTGTGTCTCTCCTGCCCTTACGTTCTGCTTGACCTGAGTTGACTGTTGCTCATGCTATAGGAGCAGGGCCCCAAGGCGCTTCAGCACGTCGTCTGTGTTTTTCCCTGTGACTAATTAGATCAGCACCCATATGCTATAGACTTGTAGGGTGCTTCATAGGATCCATTCAGCCTGGGTGAATGCAGCCAACCACAAAATGTCATCTGATCATCACGGGTTTCTGCACTGGAACTGGACTAATAGATTTTGTGGCTGCGTGTACAGTATAGCTTGTGTTTGTGAACATATTGTATTTAGATGCATCATCACAACAAAGCCGTCTTTATCAAAGAGCTTTTGTATGGAAACTTTTGATTTAGAATGTTTTTACTAAGTGAGAAAATCAGCCCTTTTTATGTACATGAGGTTGCTCTTTGTCCTTCTGCATATACCTAATTATTTTTTTACACTCCTTAATAGTCCAAATAAAATCAAGCCGTCCTGTTCACACAAAACATCCTCTTGTTTCTCACAATCCAGTTCTGATGGGAAAATAAGGCATGTGCAGCTTGTTGCAGGGACAGCTTGCAGTGCTTATTATATATCCAACCAGCACCTTAACTAGCAGCTTCTCGTCACACTGCAGAAACTCAAATCTAAGCAAGTGTATTTGTGTATTATAAGCCACATTCACCTGACAGGTCCAGAGAAACATCTAATTTCAAGATATGAAAAGCTAAAAATACGGCCTGCATTGCTTGTAATGAGTAAAAATATCTGCCAACTGGACTGCAACAGTTGACGACAACTCTTGACATTATTGTGATAGCAAAGCAAGAAAGAGAGAGGAAATGAGGGGCGAGCGAGTCGGGGGTGGCACACACCTAACAGCGTCAGTTTGGGAGTGGAAACCTGCGACCAGTGCGACCGGGACTGTAGCCTCTGTATATACACTTTCAGTCACTTCGCTGCTGCTAATGCTTCTGAGCAGGTGTTTTTTGGACTGCCACAGTCTCACAATGCTCACACTTCTCCCACTTGGCTGCATGCCTCCGTTTGTGATGCTGGAAGAAATGAGTTGTGCTGCCGCTGCTTTAAAGGGAAGCGGAGGCATTTCT